AGGCGACGGCAGACAGGGAGGGAGGTCACAGAGACAGTGACGACAGGAGAAGATTGCAACAGTTGGCTTCGTCGATCCCAGAGCGATCAGAGCAGATGGCGGACGAAGGTACGTTGTCGCTACATTTCGTTTTTGAGTTGGGATCAGAGGGGGGAGGTCGGGATCGGAAGAGTGGGGTCGGGATTGGAGGAAGACGAAATCGGGATGGGGAGAGACGTCCGGATGGAGTTGGGATCATGATGATGTCCACGGGATAAGGAGGGCTTTTTCCTTTTTTTTTTTCCTTTTTTTTTTCTCTGGCGATGTCGCCATAGGGGTGTCGAGATGGGAGGGGGTTAGAGGATCGGGGGAGGGAGAAGGTTAGAGGATCGGGATCTGGAGGGGCAACTGCAGATCTTCGGGGGGAGGGGGAAGGGGGAGAGGGACGGGGGCAGATGTCCGGATATCGCGATAAGGAGGGGATAGAGAGGGAGGGGAAGAGGGCGATCGGGATGAGGTCGCGGGTCGTCGGGATATCGCGATAAGGATGGGAGGGGGAGAGGGATAAGGAGACGTCGAGATACTAGAGGATTGGGGGAGGGAGAAGGTTAGAGGATCGGGATCGGGAGTAGCAACTGCAAATGTCGTGGGGGATGGGGGAGGGGGAGAGTGATGGGGAGACGTCTGGATATCACGATAATCGGGGGAGGGAGAAGGTTAGAGGATCGGGATCGGGAGTGGCAACTGCAAATGTCAGGGGGGATGGGGGAGGGGGAGAGCGACGGGGAGACGTCCGGATATCACGATATGGACGCGAGGGACAAAACGATGAGGAGACGTCGGGATAGAGAGGGAGGGGGAGAGGGAGATCGGGATCAGGTCGCGCGTCGTCGGGATATCGCGATAAGGATGGGAGGGGGAGAGGGATGGGGAGACGTCGGGATATGCAGGGAGGCCAAACATGTCGGGATAGAGAGGGAGGGAGAGAGTGAGATAGATCGGGACGAGGGGAAGTGCGGAAGTTAGGGGATCGGGATCGGGAGGGGCAAAGAGAAGGATCCCCGGGCAGGTCGGACGCTGAAGTAAGAGGCCGGGTCGGGATGGGGAAGAAAGACATTGGGAGAACAAAGTCGGACGAGAGGAGGGACTCAAGGGAGAGGTCGGGAGAAGGAGGGGAGGGGGTCGCGCGTGCGCTGGGAGCGAAACCGGCTTCTTCGTTTTTTTTTTTTTTTTTTTTTTTTTTTTCTGTCGATTTATGATGAGTTGGATATGTCAGAAGAGGATTATGAACGAGATCTAGGCTAGGTGCCGCAAAGTTTTGGCTTTTACAAACTGCGATCTTGAAAAAAAAAATTTTTTTTTTTTTCACTGATTGATTGATTGA